TTGTCTCCATCCCTTGTTCAACCACCCGAATTGGAATTAAAGGTCTTACCTCAACACTTGAAGTATGCCTACTTGGGAAAGAATGAAACCCTTCCGGTTATCATCTCAACTCATTTAACCGAATTTGAAGAAGAGCAACTCCTCAAGGTGTTGAAGGAGCATAAAGAAGCCATGGGTTGGACGATTGCGGATATCAAGGGTTTGAGCCCCTCCACTTGTATGCACAAGATCTTAATGGAGGATGAATGCAAGCCAAGTAGAGACGCGCAAAGAAGGTTAAATCCACCAATGATGGAAGTTGTGAAGAAAGAGATATTAAAGCTTCTTGATGCGGGGATGATCTATCCAATCTCGGATAGCAAGTGGGTGAGCCCGGTGCAAGTCGTTCCAAAGAAGACGGGAATCACGGTGGTCGAGAACAACAAAGGTATGATGGTCCCCACCCGTGTGCAAAACGGGTGGAGAGTATGTATTGACTACCGCAAACTCAATGCGAGCACACGAAAAGATCATTTCCCATTGCCTTTCATTGACCAAATGTTAGAAAGGTTGGCCGGGAAATCCCATTATTGTTGTCTAGACGGGTACTCTGGTTTTCACCAAATCCCGGTGGCACCGGAGGACCAAGAAAAGACAACATTTACATGCCCATTTGGTACTTTTGCATACCGGAGAATGCCATTTGGATTGTGTAACGCCCCGGCCACTTTCCAACGTTGTATGGTTAGTATCTTTTCGGATTATGTTGAAAACATAATTGAGGTTTTTATGGATGATTTCACGGTACATGGCAACTCTTTTCAAGAATGTTTGACTAATCTCACAAAAATTTTAAAAAGATGCATTGAAACAAACTTGGTTTTGAATTTTGAGAAATGTCATTTCATGGTGAGTCAAGGTCTCATTTTGGGTCACATTGTGTCTAAAAAAGGAATTGAGGTAGATAAGGCCAAAATTGATGTTATTCAAAGCTTACCTTACCCGACTTGTGTTCGGGAAGTTCGTTCTTTTTTGGGCCATGCAGGTTTCTACCGAAGGTTCATCAAGGATTTTTCAAAGATAACAAGACCAATGTGCCAACTCTTGCAAAAGGAGGTCGATTTCGAGTTCAATGAGGCGTGCAAAGAAGCTTTTGACAAGCTCAAAGAGTTGCTTACATCCGCTCCCATCATGCAAGCACCAAATTGGGATCTCCCTTTTGAGATCATGTGTGATGCAAGCAACTATGCGATTGGCGCCGTTTTGGGTCAAAAGAATGGGAGGGCCTCCCATGTGATCTATTATGCATCAAGGACACTAGACAATGCCCAAAGCAACTACTCTACCACGGAGAAGGAGCTATTGGCCATAGTGTTCGCCTTGGAGAAATTTAGACAATACCTACTTGGTACCAAGGTCATAGTGTATTCGGATCACGCAGCTCTTAAGTACTTGATGACGAAGAAAGATGCAAAGCCGAGACTCATCCGGTGGATCCTACTGTTACAAGAATTTGACTTGGAAATCCGGGACAAGAGCGGATGCGAGAACCTCGTTGCCGATCATCTAAGTCGGATCACTTCAAATGAAACTCCTCTCCCATTGCGGGACGAGTTTCCGGATGAGCATCTCTTTTCCCTTACCCAATCTATTCCTTGGTATGCCGATATCGTTAACTTTTTGGTCACAAAAAGGTATCCCGACACATTCACACGTGCTCAAAAAGACAAGTTGAAAAGTGATGCAAAATACTATGTGTGGGATGAACCTTATTTGTGGAAACATTGTCCCGATCAAATCATTAGGCGATGTGTGCCCCAACAAGAGCACCAATCCATTTTGCAATTCTGTCATGAATTTGCTTGTGGGGGACACTTCGGACCTAGCCGGACTTTGAGAAAGGTCCTTGATGTGGATTATTTTGGCCAACCATGTCACGCGATTGTTATATGTTTTGCAAAAGTTGTGAGCGGTGCCAAAGGACGGGAAACATTTCGCAAAAGAACCAAATGCCCCAAAATCCAATCCTTGTTTGTGAAATTTTTGACGTATGGGGGATTGATTTTATGGGCCCATTTCCCGTATCATTTGGCAACGTTTATATTTTACTCGCGGTTGACTATGTTTCTAAATGGGTTGAAGCCAAAGCCACAAGATCGGACGATGCCAAAACGGTTATCGAGTTTTTAAAGTCTAATGTTTTTGCGAGATTTGGTGTGCCTAGGGCTTTGATTAGTGATAGAGGGACGCACTTTTGCAACAAAATGATGGAGGCTCTATTGAAGAAGTATCACGTGACTCATCGTGTCTCCACTGCCTATCACCCTCAAACGAATGGTCAAGCGGAGGTCTCGAATCGTGAAGTGAAGTCTATTCTAGAGAAAACGGTGAATCCGACAAAGAAGGATTGGAGTTTGAGACTTGACGATGCCTTATGGGCATATCGGACCGCTTATAAGACCCCGATTGGAATGTCGCCCTTCAGATTAGTTTTTGGAAAATCTTGTCATCTTCCCGTCGAGTTAGAGCACCGAGCATTTTGGGCGGTCAAGAAATGCAACTTCGACATTGACGAGGCTGGAAGGCATAGGAAACTTCAACTCCAAGAGCTAGAAGAATTGAGAAACGAATCCTATGAAAACGCAAGGATTTATAAGGAGAAAACGAAGCTCTTCCACGACAAGTCCATCACCCGGAAGAATTTTGAACCGGGACATAGGGTCTTACTTTACCATTCACGGTTGAATTTATTCCCGGGCAAATTAAGATCAAGGTGGATTGGCCCATTTGTTTTAATAAAGACTTTTGACTATGGAGCGGTGGAAATCCAAAGTGAAGAAACGGGACAAATTTTCAAAGTTAACGGGCACCGATTAAAGCCATTCTATGAAAGTTTTAATGCAAGTGTTATTGAAGTCATCCACTTGGATGTCTCGATGTGTTGAACCAAGCTAGAAGGATGTCTCGCCTAAGACGTTAAAGAGAGGCATTTTTGGAAAAGCTTTATGCTTTCGTGTTTCTACGTTCGAATAAAGAAGTTTTGAAAATGTTTTGATGCGTCTTTTGAAGTCATTTTTGAAGAAATCTAGAGTTTCTAGGTGTTTGGGGCATTTGGGATCAAGAACTAGTGAAGAAACGGAAGAAAACAGAGAAAAATCGATTTCCGGGAGCAGAGGTCTACGCGACCCGCGCACGGGTGCACGGCTGGTGTGCGCGGCCGGTCTTCAACTTGCAACAAAAATCAGGCACCTAACTGCATGATCTGCGCGACCCGCGCGCCCCCTCTTCGCGACCCGCGTGCTGCTTTGACGACCATCCCATATTCTGTTGACCAGCTTTGACTTTCGTTGACCAGGTGGTTTAATGAGTTGACCAACATTGACCGGGTGTTGACCACACTTGAATATGGATTGAAAATCTCCAGCAACTCCTCTTCTTCATTTCATTCTCTCAAAAACCCCCTCATTCTCTCTCAAACTCTCAAGAACACATAAACCCACTTTTCACAAAAAACTGATTTCCCGGAGTTCCACCGGTCGGAATACGACGAGACCACCACCATTCTTCACCATTTTCCGTGCTCTACAAACCCCACCTGAAGTTTACTCCGATCCATCGCCGGGTCTAGGGGCACCACCACCACCCAACTCGCCGCTTTCCGGCCATTTTCCGGCCAACTCCTACCACCTCTTGCAATTCCGACACCACCAAAGTGTTTCTTTTTCAGGGATCTTTACATCTAACCAAACAAAACCTCAAAATCTCACCAAAATTGTTCCCATAATTTTGGAGCCACCACGAGCCGCCGCCGGATTTTTCACACAAATCAAGTTGAAAATATCCCTTCAATGAACAAGTCTTGCGTTTAGGCACCCACGAATAACCAAAGCTTGGGGTGCACGGTAGCGGATTCCGGGCTCAAGTTCAATTTTGGGATAATACGGGTTTTCTCTTTCCTTGGTTTTTATTACATTGCATTGTTTCAATTCGATAATTGCATCCAATTATGCTTTGGAAATTGCCTAAGATCGTTAGTTGTTGCCCGGTTTATTTGGTAACATTGATTTGAGAAAGGTTGAGATTGGTTAATTTGCTTGGAAATTTGTTCAAAAATTGTTTAAACTTTGGTTGGGATTTTCTCATTTTGTCTCGTATTGCTGCCGAATTTTTGTTGGGATTATCAAATTAACCGAGTGGTGTTGTTGAAACCATTTTACATTGTCAAAAGTTGGGTGTCATTATTTCTTGGATTTTTTTGTGTTCGGTCTAAAGATAGTTGCATTAATTTGAGAGTGGTGAGGTGAGGGATTACGTTGGTGAAGTTGTTTTTGATATTGTAGGTTTCGAAAATGGGCAAAACCACGGCTCGGACACGCACCCATGGATCATCGATCGATCCTAACCCGCAAAAGGATGTCGCCGGTCCATCACGCAAAGTAGCTGGTAAACGAAAAAAAAGAGGAGAAGAGGGAAGCGATCCTTCCCTTACAAATGCTGAGATCAAAACGTATCGCTCCAATCTTCGGGGTCGCGCAATCCGGCTGACAAAATTCTACCATAAAAAGTCTATGAAAAAGCTTGGGGTGCATGATGGTGTATACAATTTGTTCCTAAAACTCGGTTGGCGTGGTTTTCTTCGACTTTGTGACAGAACTTACGAGGAACCCACAATGGAATTTCTTAGCACATATGCACGAGATGATGACACGAAAGTCCTCAATTTACAGTTGAAAGGGGAGCATCATAGGCTCACATACGAAGAGCTTGATTCTATCATGGGTATAGACGATCCATTCCGCATCAGCCCCCAAAATCAAGAGTACCAAGATTTTTTGCGTTACCCTGATGCAAACTTTTGGATGCAAATTTCCGGTCTCGCAACCTTCAACCCAAGCCGACAATGAGCCAAGCACATCATTCACCCCTGCTGGCGAATTGCTCACCGAGTGCTTACGACGAGTATCTTCGGGCGTCTCGAGCCCGGTCAAATCAACAGATGTGAGCTATTTTTCCTCCGAAGCATGAGGCGTGCACTCCCCCTCAGTTTTTCAGGCTTCTTTTTAGACAAATGTGACTCCATACGCCAACGTTCCTCAGGGGAAATTTTCATCGGGGGACTTATGACGATCATAGGTCGAGCCGTCGGCCTAGACTTCCCGGATCCTGAGTACATACCTGTCGACACCCCACTGAACTTCCTGCTAGATTGTGACACTCTCATCCGGATGGAGATGTTGCTCGATCGGGGAACCCGCACATACAGTTGGTTAGACTCTGACAAAGCACCGGTTTACATCCTGCCAAGTTGGATCGGTTCTTCATTCGATACAGGCAACCCCGACACTTGGCTTCCTCCAGATCAGTTGACCCAAGCAGGTGTATTTCCAGAATTCGGTGATGATGAGGGTGACGATGCAGAGCAACTAGAGGAAGAAGATGACGAAGAGAACGACGAGATGCCCGAAGCTGAGGACCATTTTGACCAGCCCTCGATGCAGCAGCTGATGTTTCCGCATGATCAATTCCAGGCCCCTCCGCACCATTTTGACCAGCCGCATCAGCAGGAGGGACACGAAGTCCCACCATATTTCCCCCCCACGTTCTTTGACCAATTTACCACAATGTTCTCCACGGTGCAGCGCATCGACGCCCAAACGCAAGAGAATTCGAGAGCCATCCTAGATGTGGCAAGCCGTGTTGATCGATTGGAGCAGTCCTCCCCTCACACTTCCCACCAGGTCCAGGATATGTGGGACTACCATTATCACCGCGGGCATTTCCCGCCGCCCGACCCCCCGATTTAGGTCCTTTCCGCCCTTTCCTCAAGCATTGAGGACAATGCTTGTTCTTAAGCTCGGGGTGGGGCATTTCATTTTCCTTTTATTTTTTTCATGCATTTTTAATTAGGTTGCATAACATTTTAGTTTTAAGCTAATTTTCATTCATTTTTTTTAATTCCAAAAAGATTTTATTTTCTTCTTTTTCACCTTTTATATTTTTGCATAACATTTAGCTTAGGACATTAACATTCATGCATTTTTGTTGTCTGTTTATTCTCATCTCCTTTGATGCGATGGAACAGGTTCATAGTTATTGTATCATTATTGGTCCAGGATCTTGTTGTTATCTCACCCATCGAACCGGGATCATTAGCTGCAGTCTGGGACCTCATACTTGGGATCAGATGCTGGTAGCTTAAAGGGGTAAGTGATCATGGACAGGTAGTTTTCATGAAGAATTATGCATACAATACTAATGTCTGTAGGATATACTATAGCAATGGATGTCTTATCCTTGCGGTCACTACCGCCGAGAGGATCACACTTGATCATGTTTGAACCGTTAGGATGAAGCACTAGAGCTTGTCCCCGAGTAGAATCCATATCCAGTCTTTTTACATCACCATATCTTTTTGCGACTTTCTTAGGATTTTAGAGAAGTCTTTTAGTCCGCATGTGGACAATTTCGTTATTTTAACAAAAAAAAAAATTCACAAATTGGAAGAGGAGCTTACATTATATCTTTATGCTCCACACATGGTCATTTTCTCGCTTAGACCATTCAGATTATATTACTACCCTTTCGGTTCCACTTACACACTTTAGGAACCAAATGTTGAGTTAAAGGGTTGTTATTGCATTACGTTCAAGTATGGAAACACTTAAAAAAAAATGGTGTGCTGACAAATCCCCAGCCGCAGAAATCTGAGAAGGGTGACCGGTTCAATTATTGAACTAAATTTTCTAAAATTTTGGTCACCCGGCGTTCGATATTCATTTATTTAGGTATGTTTTATTGTATATGGATTGAGTTGTTTTTCGCAAATTGGTGATGTTAGGGAGACTGTCGAGTCGGATACTACAGGAGGTTTGGGCCAACACCAAGTGAATCGATTCCTACAACGGTCCCCGAGCGATTAAACCTAGTTACACATGAGAGAAACCGGCAAATGTGAGATCAGAGTGTACACTTAAAGAAGAGCTCCACCCGAGCCCATCCAGCTGCTTTCTCCCTACTACAGATATTCTTCATTGTATGCATGTTCCATTGAGGCTGCGACTGCTCATCCCTCCTTACTCACCTAAAGGAGTTGTCCTGGGTGTGGCTTATGGTTCCATTGTCATCGGCTGAAAAATTCGTGAGGTAATAGCAAGATCAATTCTGACCATGTTGACTAACGGGGATCAGGTTCTACGGTTCTATCAATTCTTTTTATTTTCTTAGGATAGTTCATCCCGAGTTCATTTTAGTCTTGTCTTACTTGAGGACAAGTAAGGTTTAAGCTTGGGGTGATTTGATAGTTAGTTTTGTTTACTTCTTTTTATAGTTTATTTTAGCATATTTCATTCATAATTTAGATAATTTCCATGCATATTTTCCTTTTTGTTATTTTATGACTATTTCGGGTACTCTCGAATCTTGTGAGCATAATTGTAGGTTTTCGGGTCTAGCGGAGCGGGAGTGTTCGGGACGTATAGGAGGTGATGAGATTTGGTAGACAAAAATGACGTTGGGCTTGATGGGTAGTGGAGATGATGCATAGAGTGATCTTGATGATTATTTGAAGACTTGGAGAGAAATAAACTTTAAATTTGCAAGATGCGGGGGAATATTCAAGTGTACGTAAATTATTAATCGGGCGAGTTCATGAGCTTTGGAGGACTTAGAGAGGTCAAATTGGGCTTAAAATGAAGAAAAACTTGAAGAAAATGGGCTAGGAGGTGATTGGATTTGATCTGGGCCAAGTGGGCTAAGCTATGGAGGCCCAAAACTTTTCCAAAACCGTTATCAAACCCATGTAAAACCAACATTTCCAAAAAGGAATTTTGAAAAGCTCAATGTCAAAGGCAAGAGAAGTGAACCATTTTAACTAAAACAACCTCACTTTTTCAATCATGTTTCGAAGCAGCAAGTCAAAGCTTCATTTGTAAAAGTGAAAACAAACTCGAAGAATATCAATCATTGGCTCGAAGGAAAAGGAAAGCCTTATCAATCAGGAAAGTTTTCACAAAAGGAAATCAGGTATCCTTACGAAAGCTACTTGAACGAGTCATCAACAGGGAGTTCTTCATTAATGGAATCGAATCCCTCTGTTTGAAAGTGGAAAGTTATTCCCAAAGCTGAAGTTGAGGAAAAATGAATTGCTGATGAAAAAGGGAAAATCAGTGTCGAACCTAAACCAATGAATGATTTCAAGAATATTGCATGTTTAATGTTTTTATTTTGAAATTCGAACCGAAAACACTTACGGCTGCTTTGGAAGATCCTAATTGGATTGTTTCCATGCAATCTGAGCTAGCTGAATTCAAAAGAAACAAGGTTTGGGGATTAGTTCCAAAACCTGATGATGCCTCAGTTATAGGCTTAAAATGGATTTTTAAAAATAAAGCCGACAAAGAAGGAAAAGTGGTTCGAAACAAAGAATGGTTGGTTGTTAAAGGATGTTCGCAAAATGAAGGAATTGATTATGATGAAACCTTTTCCCCTGTCGCAAGACTAGAGGAAGTTTGAATATTTTTTTGCTTATGCATCACAAAAGGACTTCAATGTTTATCAAATGGATTTCAAGTGCATTTTTCTCAATGGTGTAATAGAAAAGATTGTGTACATTGAACAACCACTAGGTTTCGTAAATGAAAAATACCCTGATCATTGCTATATTCTTGATAAAGCTTTATATGGATTAAAGCAAGCACCTCGATCCTGGTATGCCACTCTTACAAATTTCTTGGAACTCTCTAAATTTAAACAAGGATATGTTGATCCCACTCTCTTTCAAAAGAAAGTGGGGGATCATTTAATGCTCGTTCAAATTTACGTAGATGGTTTAATTTTTGGTTCGACTGACCCTTCTTTTTCTAAAGAATTTGAGCAAATGATGCAAAGTCAGTTGGAGATAAGTATGATGGGTAAGATTAATGAGTTTCTGGGATTGAATATTTGATAAGGTAGGGATGGAATTTTCATCGATCAAGAGAAGTATTCTCATAACTTGCGTGAGAAATTTCGCATGATGAATAGTTCGAAATTGAAAGTACCAATGGTTGTTGGCACACGCTTAAGACCTTTATTGTACAAGCCTGCTGTTGAGATTACATTATACAAGATCATGATCGGTTCGTAACTTTACCTAACTACTAGTACACCTGATATTATGATCATTGTTTTCAATTGTGCCAGATATCAATCGAATCCCAATGAACCCCATCTAACATCTGTGAAGAATATCTTTCGATATCTTAACGAGACAATGTAATTGGGTTTATGGTACCCTTCGAAGATATGTTTCTTCATTTAGACATTCTCAGATGCAGATCTTGGTGGTTTTCAACTTGATAGAAAAAGAACTACTGGTGGATGTCAGCTTTTAGACGGGAAGCTTGTTACCTAGCAATCGAAGAAACAAACATGTGTTTTGATTTCCACAACAGAAGCAAAATATGTTGCTACTGTAGCTTGCACTTCTCAGGTCATATGGATACAAAGTCAACTTCGTGATTATGCAATCAACATGAAAGAGATACCTTTGTATTGCGATTCACAAAGTGCCAAAAACATTTGCCATAATCTGGTGCAACATTCGAAGACCGATCATATCACACTTTGCTATCATTTTTTCAAGGATCATGTTGAGAATGGAAATATAGAGATTAACTTTGTAAAGACGACGGATCAATTTGCTGATATTTTTACAAAGCCTTTGGATGAGAAATCTTTTCTAAGGATCTTATCTGGGTTAGGAATTCTCGATGCAAATGTTGTTCGAAACTTATCTTCAATGTGAAATAACGAGGAGTCGAAACATCGCAGACGTATTCAGAAGCTACTGTTCACTATTCGATGTTCGATCCCCTTCGTTTGCTACATCTCTCTGAATGGTTTAGATACTACTTCGTTGTCTAAGAAGACTTGTTGTGTCGACACATCATGTCTTGATGTCGATACTTTTCACTTCAAATGTCTGGTAACATTTTATTGTTTTTCCTTTTGTGTTATAAAGCAAAAGTACCAAAAAGATTTTATTTCTTTTAACTTTATTTTTCAAAATCATAAAAACTCCAATATATATATATATATATATATATATATATATATATATATATATATATATATATATATATATATATATATATATATATATTGTCTTTAAATTTCAAAAAAAAAAATTCCAAAAAGATTTTCGTATTTTCGTCTTTTTCATTTCAATATAAAAATCCAGAAATATTTTCTTTATGTTGTTTTTTGTGTTTAATGATTCTCTTGTTGTTCTCAGTGGACATATTGTGGTGGATATTGCTTTGTGACTAGGGGCAAGAATAATTTCGAATCTTTGCACTAGTTAAGTGTCCCTAGAAACATGTTATTGTATGCCGACCTAGGCTTCATAGACTCAATGTGTTTTTAAGCCTTAATTGGTCACTTACTACGAGGGTTCCTTCCCAATCAGACTATATTCACATTGGTCGATGAATCTACCTTTCTCTTTGCATTTTGAGTTAAGTGATTTTTGCTATGTCAATATCATTCGCAGAGGTACACTATGTTTCTTAAAAAAAATCTTTTTCACCAACTTATTTCTTCATGATTCACAAACTTTACTTGTGTATCCTCGCCATCTCTGGTAGAAAGCAATCAAAATGTAGATGCTGCACAAGTCTGTGTTCATGATCTTGATTCATGAGTCTGTGATGATTTTGAAACCCAACATTTCCAACTTATAAAGGAATTGACGGTGAACTTTCAGTTCAAGATTTTCATGAAACATTTGTTTCAGTACCTTTTTCGATATTCAAAATCATACTCCTTTTGTCATGCATGATCTTGATAAAATGTTCTTTACCCAAGACATTTTTTCCCAACAGGATCTAATCCTTTTTTTGGAATATGGTTTCTGTCTAAATGTTAGTTTGAACTTTTGTCACTTACAGATTTATCTTATCTTAGCTTGTCCCTGACTACACTGGTCATATAAGTAATTTTGATAATTGAATTCACACTTATTCTAAGTTGTAAACATGAAAAAAATTGAACCGACCTTCGAAGCCTAATAAAAGAAGCCCTTCGAGACACATTTACGAGTAGTCGATTGTAATTCACAGGATACCACACAAGCAGTTCGATAACTCTCTTGATATTCAATGAAGAGATCTTATTCTGGGATCCATCTGCTTTTACATCGAATGTTTATTTAATTTTATAATACACACATTTTTTTACCTTGGTCCCTACTATTTCTTTGGCACACATTTGCACATACATCCTCGAGTTCCTGGGTACTACCAACCCAAACCTAGATTTTGAAAGTCTAGCTATGATTTTGCTTCTCATCCCAAAAGCGATTGAGCCCAGCCTGGAAATGAAGGTCAGGCAACGGTTCTTATCCTGTTGTGGTAAACGAAACATTTGATGGATGTGATGGTTTGGTTAATTCATGGTTTTGTAGGAAAAAGTGCTCATTACTTTTCAAACATGGTTACTTTTACGATAACGGATCCACCTTCCTACGATACACATGGCAAAATTTCATTGGTGGATGGTTTAAATTCAAAATTTGTACTATGTATACAAGAAATTTGGGGGTTTCAAATCAAAACTTTATGCCACCTGGTTGAATATTTTCCCTAAAATATTCTTTCGTTATACTTATCTATTCACATCAATCTACAAATCCCCAACAATGGTGGCAACTGCTCATGTTGATCCATCCCAAACTACTGATGAAACAACATCTCAACATCTGTTGAAGATTCATAGTTCCAATTATCGAGTTTAACTATACGTTTCCAAGAGCCCTGAAGAGTTATAAATGTTGATCGGTGCTCCTAATCACTATGTGTTCTCAACCGTCATGACATCTTCTTTTTCAGTACCTATGACTTGGTTATCCTTGGTTGGTTCTACTGCCGTGTTAAATAAAAAAATCCAAAGTCGTGACATTTCAACTTACGAATGCGAAAAAAATACAAGCTCACGAAGAAACCATTTGCACAGATCATGAAACTTCCCAATACTGGTCCATTTTATGAAGTGACGAATGACCAAGTTAGACATGTGTTCAATGAGATGGGTCATCAACTCCCACTCACCGGAATTAGTCAGTTCAATAAGTCTTCTTTTCCCTGTATATAGAATTTTCTATTTGGGATTTTTCTCCATTATCTCTCTGTTCGAAGTGTTGGTCTTGATAAATCCAATTTAGAGATATATTCCTTAATTGCTGGGTTATATGATGATTTGAACGTGGATTATGTGACACAGTTATGGGATGAATTTAGGGCTAGAATCTCACACACCAATGTTGCGAATGGTGTTTTGTTATGCTTGGAGTTTGTTTCTACAAGAAGTGTACAAGAAGGAAGGAATTCTTGTCCCATCTAATGTTCCAAAAGTAGAGTTCATAATTTATCAACATCCAAAGACTGTTGAAGATGATTCATAGGTTTTTCCTTCAGTAGCACAATTTCCTGATGCCATGCTTCGAAAGGTGGATCCAAGTAATCCAATTCTTGTTACTTATTTTGCAACAGTAAACTCTGATGTGCCAATATGGGTTTTGTTGCCCAAAGGACTTGAAGGTATATCAAAACGAGCTAAAGGTTATAAGAAATCCGTGAAGGCTGCCAAACCCAAGCCTGATACTGTGACCGTGGAAAAGGAGGTAACAAAGTTTGTTAAAGATCATGTTGTTCCAAAGACTCAAAACGAAGTGATTACTTCGAAAATAGGAATCTTAAAAGAACAAAGAAGCCAATACATAGACCTTTTCATTCACCAGAAAGGCCTATAGTTGATGAAGTTCCTGAGAATTCTCTTTCTTCACCAAAAGAGGATTCTATCTAGGAAATCAAAAAGATTAGAAAACCCCAGATAAATCGAAGGGGTGTGCTCATTAGAGAAATTACTACTCCCGTTTCTCTTACTATAAAGAAACGAATAGCACATGCTATGGTAAAGAAGATCAAGAAGAAGAAGAAGAAATTGCAAGATCATTTGTATGAAGTTGTACAAGAGATTTATTTCGAATATGATGGTACTCAATCTCCTATTTGCAATGATGATATTAGCTTCAAATCACCTTAAAGGGACTCACCAGTAAAG